GGGGAGTAGGGAAACTCTATGCCTAAGGGAGAAGCAGGGGCAGAAAGTGCTAGAGGAGAAACTGTACCCCCACCACCACCACCACCACCAAAGAAAGGCAGGACAGGCTGGATCGGTAGGAGCACAGTACAGAATAATTCTTTGTCTGTACATGTGTGTGGAGAGAAGTGGCCAACTTTTTTTGGGGGGAGAGGTCTTTCACTGGGACCCGGGAATCTCTATTAATTTAGCTGGTCACCAGAGTCCCGGGTATCCCTCTCAGTACCAGGAATACAGCATATTCTACCACACCTAACATTTTACAGGGTTTCCAGGGAGCTAACTTAGATCCTCATGCTTGCACAGCAAGTACTTTAGCCCCACTGAGCCATCTCCTCAGGCCCAAGAGAATAATACGTTACAGCTGGTTGGAGCGCAGGGCAAGGACCTGTGTGTCTGTCAGCTGCTTCTGCAACCTTGTACAGAAATCCTGCTGTCCCCTGAGGCTTGAGCTGTGAGTGATGCCTGAGGAGGCCCATGATTGGAGTGGCATCTGGACAGTGAGCACAAGCCTGGAGATGAAGGTGGGTTTCAGGGAAGGGACCCTGTTCACAGGACAGCCAGCATCCTTAGCCATGGCACATCAGTCCACTGGGGCCAAGAATGCACAGTCCCCTAAGGAGGAACAAAAACACATGTCCATACACAAATTTGAATACCAGCATCAGTCACAAGGGCCAGATGGTTGAATTAATTTATGAGTCCACCGAGTCATGGACAAAATGTAGTCTACCCATACCACAGAATATCACCCATCCTGAAAATGAAGAAAATCCTGCCCTCTGCCACAGTATGGATGGACTTTGAAGGTACTGTTTGAAGATATGAACCAGCCATAGGGAAGACAGATCCTCTGTGTGACCACTCATGTAATGTTCCTAGAATTACCACATCCACGGGGACAGGGGAAGGGAAGATAGGGGTGCTAGTGGCTGAGGAGGGAGGGGGCACGGCTAAGGGTGAGAGCTTGTGAAAATGTACACAACTCTGGCAACGCACTCCAAGCCACTGAACCACACCCTGATGTGCAATGTGTATAGGGCAAAGCACGCCTCTGGAAAGCTGTTTAAAAGTCAGATACAATGGGGAGAATGTTCAGCAGGTAAAACCGCCTGCCACCAATCCTGATGAGCTCAGTTGGATCCCCTGGAAGTAGAGAACGGACTCTTGAAACTTGTTCTTTGAGCTCCACACCCCTTCACACATAATAAACAAGTAAATGTAATTTGACTTTCCTTTAAACAGTTTCAATTTTGCGTCTATGTGTGCATCTGTGTGGTGCACATGAGAAAACCCCTGCATAGCTCAGAGGTACTAGATCCCCCTGGTACTGGGGCTGAGTGCTGTTTTGAGTGAGCATCCTGATGTGGGTACTGGGAACCAAACCCAGGTCCTCTAACAGAGCAGTGTGTGCTCTTAACTGCTGAGCCATTTTGCTAGCCCAATCGATGTAATTTAAAATAAAAGGCAGATGTTAATGTCCCAAGGCCAGCTCTCCCCTGCCCAGGGTAACAAAATGAGGGGACAGCCCTCTCACCAGAACTGATAGGTCTGACCCGGTTCACACATCCTCTGCACTTACCTGGTGGCAGGCAGCCCACTTTCTGGGGTTCTTAGTTGTCTCTGCAGCCCCTTTCCCCTGCCCTCACAGTCAGCTGACATAATTTGAAATCATAAGGCTGGGAATGTGTGTACTTTCTTTGAGGGTTAAGAGAAAGGGACACCCAGTCACAGGGAAGCCAGTCCCTGGAGCCCTTACCCAGGGACAGAGATTAACTTCCTAAGGCACTGGTTGGTCCTCCCCTGATGCTTCAGATGGAGAGGGGAGCCTAGGGGCTGGAGAGGGGACACCCAGCCTGCTCCTCTCAGACAACATTATATGCCTGGGGTTGTAGGAAGTCTCAGACAGGGCTCTTTCCCTGAGTTTTAGGGCACCCCATCCCAGGCCACAACCTGTGGACTTCTTTTTCCTTTGGCCACATCCATGGTGTAGTAATCAAGGCTGGGCTTTTCTGCCAGTTCTGATTAGCCAGACAAGAAGCATTCCTGAAGACGAGCCTCACAGGCCCAGAGGGGCCCACAAAGCACCCGGAAAGTAGAAGGGGATACAGAAGCTTCAGGACTTCTTGAGTGACTGGGGCAGGCCATCTCCTCAAGCTCTACCAGACAGCTTGGAATTACAAAGTTGCTTACACTCTGGTTCATGAGGTATGCCTGTGTGTGTGCATGTACATTCGCACACAGGCCGGCTGCAGTAGCTCATCCCAGACTTTCGTCACCCTATCATAAGCATACCCTTTGGGACTGAGTCTGTGAGGTTATAGGAGTATAGAAGACCCGCCCCCCCCCTTAAGACTCTGTCCTTGGCCGAGCGTTGGTGGCACACGCCTTTAATCCCAGCCTCGGGAGGCAGAGGCAGGCGGATCTCTGTGAGTTCAAGGATAGGCTCCAAAGCTACACAGAGAAAACCTGTCTCGAAACGCCCCCCCAAAAAAGAAAAGAAAAGAAAAGAAAAAAGACGACTCTGCCCTTTAGAATTAGTGGGCTTATGTGTACCAAGTAGACATGGCAAAGGGGGTCTGGCAACAAGGAAGTAGGTGATACTGTCTCCATGTCCCTTGTCACTTGCCCACCTAAGCTGCCTTACCCTAGGTGACTTGACTGTATACTGGAGTGACTACTGCACTCCAGGGCACCCCAGCTGCCCTACTCAGGGAGCCTCCTGGGCATGGGGGAAGCAGGTACCATCAACTGGAAGCCCCTGCCTCCTCCCCTGGCTAGAAGAGTGGGCTGTAGCCTGGGCCTGTGAGGGTCATGGTGGGGGTGGCGTGTGTGTGTGTGTGTGTGTGTGTGTGTGTGTGTGTGTGTGTGTGTGTATGTGTGTGTGTGTGG